TTTGATCAAATAAATAAATCGGCATCTCTTGCAAAGGAAAGACGATCCTAAATGTCGCTTTATGGCATTGAAGTGAAATGAATACGTCCCTTGATTACGAAAGAACAGTTTACCGAGGGAGTACTATTGGTTGTCTCGTATTATTTGTTATTATTTGTTGTTATTAATATTCATTAGTATTATTAGTTGTCGTCTTCGTCGAGTGCTTCTCAGAAAACCTCATGGTTTAATTTCCAAGAGTGTTCAACTTTGAGGGGATCAATTTGTCCCATTTTATTAGTGTTCTGTTTCGAGATGTATCCCCTTGAAGCAAGTGCTTCTGTTGTCAAACCAATTATCCCAGCTAAATATGGGATGATAGGAAGCCAGAACATATAGCCGAATATGAATCTAGGGAATGTGTTAGGAAGATAACAAACTACTGAGTATAGGCTGATTTGATTACGTTCGATCGTGAAAATTATGCTTGAAAAAATACAAAGGAGGCTTCCATCGCTTATCCCAAGTATCGGTGTATTCGCTATGCGAATTGACAGTCGGAGTAATCAGGAGGCACGAGATTTTTGTCTTAGTATTGCTCTTTGTGAAAGCCATATTGCTGAACCTTTTGTGAACCTGGGACTCGGACTAAGGAACGTGTGCAGCTTGGGAAGACCACAAAACAGGGTAGCCCGTTTATCAATCTCTTCGAACAGCCACCAAGATCAACAGTTGGCATACGGGTATAGTTTGTCTGGTACACAGTCAAGCGAAAATATTACACGGAACACTTAGCAACAAGGTTACCGCTACATATACACAACCAACAGAGTAGTCGCTTTGACTTTCAAATGCGAAAGTCAAATTTTTTGTATATTCATCGGGGCTAGTCATCCGGCACGGTTCTGGTAATCTGGTCTTTGTGGATATCGTCTATCTGTGTAACTAGAGAACAATATTGAAATAAGCTGAAACTTCTACAACGACCAATAAATCAAAGCAAAATCACATTAGAACAGATATTAGTGACAAAAAGTGTTAGCATGTTTCGTTTGGTGTTTTGATTTACTTTTTAGATGAGATCTCTCTGCTTTCATTCTTCACTGCAATAAATTTTTCATCTGTTTCACACATTCAGCAGCAAGTATTTTGATAAGTCCGGCCTAATTTAGCAATCTCCTCTTATTCTGGTCTTTTGAAAATAACCGGACGCGAACAGCAGTGGAACGGAATGTGGGTAGGCCACCTAAGGCTGATTATACTTCCGCCACCAACGGGATCTCCGGCAACATCAATAAACACAGTCGTGCATGTCCGACCTTATTTTACGATTCCGGCTGTTGGCTTGACAGTTGCCTGTTGGTCACATCTACTTTAATATGATTAGACAGGTCTCTCGAGAACCCGGGCCTTCGGATGAAGCACACTGGGCTACTGACCACCTTTCAGTCTAAAATCCCCATGCCTGTAGCATTTGTTTTCTTGTGCATTCGTTTGTCGCCGTCTGGAGTAGAAAGCAAAAATAAAATAAACAGAATATATGTTATGTCCAAGAGATTGGCAAATACTTGAGTTTATGTGTCCTGCTCTTGGCTGAGGAGTTGCAACAGAACATGTTGAAAAAAGGAATGAAACTCTTCACTGAACAGTACTCTGTGGAGAAGTTGAGATGTTTCCAAGTGAAGGGTATGTCTTCTTTTGATTGTTTTTCATGTAAGTCCAAATACCCGCTAGATATCATTACATTAGCTGGAAGGGCCTCTAAGACAAAGGAAATAAGTTTAGTGAATTTTAACTCATCAGAAAGAAATTTCCTTCATAAAATCATCAAACCTTTAGATATCTTGACATTTATACATTCAAGATCTCCAGTAATAGTATTACTTTAGGAAAGAGAACGTTCGCATGTTTCAGTGGCGCCCTCAAGATTGTTCCTTGTCCTTCCAGAAAAGATATGCCCAGGATAGTTCAGATTTTAGGGCAGGTTTCACTCACCATACGCACACTGCCTGAAGCTTTCTGTGTCGGACAATTTTGTAAACGCACACCCACGCAAAAGTTGTAAACGGGTGTTTGATACATCAGTGGATGTAAAATAGAAATACTCCGTATCACTTTTGGAATTCGGCGTCTCTCTTGGAGATGTGGCTGTAAAATGTGCAAAGGAACAGATGTAAATCTCCGTAATTAAGGTTTTGAATTCATGACCAGCTCATTATCTGTTCAGCTCAGTTTGATATCCGCAGTTCTTAAAGAAATCTGTGCACTAGATCTGTGGGAGATTAAAAGCGTTCCTCGGTGAGAGTTCATCGGTTATAGGGTCTGTGCAGTACTGTGAACCTGCAAACGATAAAAATCGAAAACTTCTTTACTCAGATTTCTCAAATGGTGCGTAATAAATTATTAGTGTCAGTAATTTTCAACTTTCCCACTAAAACTGATTATTCTAAACATGCCTTAGTGTGAATCGAGGACCAATCGAAGTGACAAGTCCACTCCACGAGTGTGTAAGATGCTTTGCAAACGATAAAGTGTATAACTGAAAATAAAAACCAGCACAAATATCGACACAGCTAGTGGTGTGGGGTCAAAATGTGAAACACCTAACAGAGGGTTCATGTGTCCGATCCTTCTACATCTTCTAAATTCCGGCCAAAAACTGGGGATAATTTACTAATTTACAAGTTTGACGTGCGTTGCCAATTTAGTTAAGTCGTACATCGATGGATTGCTGAAAATCTTGAAAAAAAAACAGGATGAAAGACTGAACTTTCCTAAAGCCATGTACACTACAAGCTGGTGAATGTCATGCATAGAAGAAAATCTGAAGTATGAACGACCACCTTATTGTTATTATTTTCGGGACGGTCACGAAAATAACCTTTAAGAGTAGTGGGGATTGTATGGATATGCGAAGAAATTCAGTTTTTTACGTGTTGGATGTGCTAGTATATTTCTAGTACTTTGCCATAAAGAGTTCATTAGGCGCTATCTAGAGTGAAAAACCGAGTTCTGGATCTGGTTTTAATCTTCACGTATATCATTGTATGATGCCGTAGTTTTGGATGATTCAGGGATTTATAGAATTCTTGCTTACGTCCCTCGATTCAGTAGTTTCTATCTTGCCCTTGCGCAACTACTCTGCTTCTTCTCATTCCGAACTTATCCGAAGACTGTGCTTACGGTTGTCCACGATTGCTTGGCGCTCGCCAACAGCGACTAGTTCAGGCTGAATGAGATTTCGAATGTTCGCATCCATATCACTCTCGTTTGAATGGTCATCCTCCGGTGTCGGCGTAATTAGTCTCGTTAGTGCATCAAAGGTCTAAAGCAATGCACTCGAGTTTCGCTCTTGCTGGAGCACATCCTATGGGCATATCGGGGTCTGAACTCAGGACATCCGACTTGCGAGACTAGTGTGTTTCCACTGCCCTACCAGCACACGTTGGATGCATCGGAAATTGCATGTCAGAACAGGCGAGCTTGTTTACACTTGATTAATTTGGTTTACCTGATGTCCGCATTGGCGACTCCGTAACTGTCTTGGTTGTATCGATTGAGTGACCCATCTGTCAGGACTTCTCAGTCAGGTGACGCTACAGACGCTTGAAATCTGCCGGGCACCAGTCAAGCGTGAACACGTTCTCCCGTTCAGACGTGAAATTCATATGCATACATCCAGCGTTGATCGAGTAATGGTAACAAGCTCGCATGTCAGATGTCCGGAGTTCAAACGCCAGCGTGGTCCAGTGCGCTGCTGTGCCCTACCAGCACACGTTGGATGCATCGGAAATTGCATGTCAGAACAGGCGAGCTTGTTTACACTTGATTAATTTGGTTTACCTGATGTCCGCATTGGCGACTCCGTAACTGTCTTGGTTGTATCGATTGAGTGACCCATCTGTCAGGACTTCTCAGTCAGGTGACGCTACAGACGCTTGAAATCTGCCGGGCACCAGTCAAGCGTGAACACGTTCTCCCGTTCAGACGTGAAATTCATATGCATACATCCAGCGTTGATCGAGTAATGGTAACAAGCTCGCATGTCAGATGTCCGGAGTTCAAACGCCAGCGTGGTCCACGCTGTGCGCTGCTGATGGTTTCTGATAAGACCGAAAAGCGAGTCCAATGTTCCTTCCTCCCTTCGATGTGGATTCATCAGAATGATTGTGTCAGGACAGGAGGAAGACTGTTCAGGCGAGAGTGATGTGAGTATGAATTCATTGGTGGCCATCGTAAAGCACACTTCATTAAGTTTGCATTTCACGGACAATTTGTTGTTGTATGGACGCTAACCTGTTGTCCACATTGTAGTTTTGGTATATCCAGCATGGATACCATTGAAATACCACCAACTGTCTCTGAAACTGAACACTGAGTCTAAGGGAATATATTGCTTCGTGGAACCATAGCGTCCGAATTCAAGCATCTGTATTGAAACTACTTCCAGCAGTCATTGCTGGAGTGTGTGGAGTCCGTTTGGATCTTTCTGTCACCTAGTGGCTATTGGTTAAACTAGAAAACCGATAACTATCACATTTGGCTTAATAAAACCGGTTTAAAAATACAGCTGCGGTTGTTGAATAATCAGAAATATATAGCCGCACATATGTCGTTTTATCTCAGGCCATCTTGGTGCTTTTATTAAATGTCTCAGTAGGTCTTCTCAGGTTACTGAACAAGAGAATTAAGGTGACTCGAGTGAAAGCTAAAGATCATTCTTCGTTAAACTAATATATTCCTAGCGCTGTGCAGCACTGGTCTTCATAGGATAATGAACATTCTCTTGAAAAATCGTAAGTGTACACCACGTCATTGAGGTACTCGATTGTACATCTCGTGATTCCGGAACCTTTATGGGAAGCTGCATTAAACTTCAGGATATCTCCAAGGGATAGCGTTGTGTGGATTTTTGAATGGAACTATAGTAACAAGCATGGTGATTTTGCAAACGATATGAACGGGTTCCCCTTATGCGCTCATCAATAAGTATATACAAACTCTTTCATCTACATTTTCAGCTTTCATTCGCAGTCATCGTAGAGGCTTATGATATGATTACACTCAATAAGAGGTACCTCATTGATCGAGCGGTACATCGGAGTCTACTTCGCCCAGTTTCAAATTTCCCGAGTCAATCGGTTGCTGGCGTGAAAGAATGGCACCATGTGACCACGACAACTCAAGTTTCTGGATATACGTTCAGCATCCGGCTAGCTTGTCAACCAGATCATTATAATAACACGTGCACCAAGATATGCTTGAAAAACAGCACCCAATACGTGTGCGACTCAAACGGGGATAAAGTTTGCGAGCCAGGCTGGAGTGGTTCCGAATGTGATACACGTAAGTTTGAAGTTTTGTGTCTCATGCTCAGAATTTATTTACGCATCACTTGCAAATGGAACTCGATCTATCTGCTTACGGAAGGTTGTTAGGAATGGGTGAGCAAACGCACGACACGATAGTGAGTAATATTTTCCTATAAAAAGCTGTGGTATTGCACCTACCAGGGTAGAACACCAGGCGATCACGACGATCTCATCATTGGCACTCATGTCTGTACAAAACTGTGTGTTGGCAATGTTGAGGAATATGGGTTGCTCGGATGTGCTGCTCGGTTTTCGGTTCGCTCACCACATCTGGGTTGCAAAAGTTTCATCACCAATCAAGGTAGTATCATCCGTGCGAGAGTGAGCGGAAGTGGTAATACAAGTTGCGTTCATAATGGGTCTGCCTAAATGAGTATAAGTTGGCCGATCAACACAGAATGTGAAGCCATCTTTACTCTTTCACAAATGGGGAATCATTGTTACTTGTATAGGGACACCGGCTTATATATTTGTACTTCCTCCTTCGCCGATACTAAATGATCACTGTGAACTTAACGGCATTCATGTACGCCACCAGCGTACAAATATATGCAATCTACATTACACAGGCTCCGACGAGAATGGTCACTCAAGTAAGTATTGTTCGGTTCGAAAAGCAAATCTCCACACAGCGAAGACTTTTGGATTAGACATTACCCAAAATGGAAATCAACTAACCAGTCTGTAATTTCGGATCGCTAGTCCAAAATGACAGTACATGTTATCAGGTCAGCCGAAAGGATTATTCGCTGAGATTGTGAGATGGACAGATGTTCAAAAACTGGTTTTTCTACTGATGAAAGCTTAGTCTTAAGATAGCAAAGCACTCAACACAATGTTGACATCGATTAATATTAAAGGCTAGTCAGACCGTAACGTGTAGCTGACGAATCAACTCATTTTTCATCTAAAGGAAGTTTTGAAAGTCAATAGTCCACTTGGACTCTTCAAGTAACTTTCTACTGGATGAGGGTAACCAAAATTTGCCAACAGCAATTCTCCTACATTCTTGCATTATCAATACTTTTTGCGTCATAACTACCTCAATACATTAATTCATATTAAAATAAGGGAGAAAGCTTATTTGAACATCGCTAATAGTGTGTGGACTTTCACATTTGCAAACAAGCCAGAAGTCGTTACGAACGAATTCGTTGTGTACGTAAAGCATTTCTAATATCTAATGACACAAAGGAATAATGGTTGTATTAGCTTGGTGCGTCTACTGGGCCTCCTAGGCAGCAAACTGCTTCATTCACAATGGGCAGCAACTGTTTGGTTTTGTCCGCCACCCCAACCGTAGAGGGTTTTAATTGGTTCCTCAGGGACAGTTTCTGGCTTTTCTTTCCAGACTGAACGATATTTTTTATTTCTATTTATTACTTATTCATATCCGTTGTGTTTCACTGTACAGTAATATCTTGAGTTGTGATTTGGTCTAACCTATTGTACTCTGTTTATTTGTGTTTCTTGTATAAATCTGCAAAAGTCCGTTAGTAATAAGCCGTCTATCCAGGATTTATAAGCTTAAGGCGATTCTCTGTGTGCAATGTTATGCAAAACTAGCTGAATTATGTTTAGCGCTAGCTAGCGTTATGTGTATGCTTAGGATGCTCCTTTTCAGTTAATCGGGTCGCCAGATGAGCTTTTGAAAACACTATAGGATTCAACTCTTCAAAGGTATCCACTTAAATTGACAATTATAAAACCTTGGCTGAGTGTTCCGATAGCCTTGGGACTGCCCTTCACCGTTCACTATCAGGTCTTATTCCCCTGGGTGTACACCATGTACCGGAAGGCTTGTGTGGCTCAGCGCAGCATCGCTGACTTGGGCGAGGTCCATCGACGTAGTTCGATGTGTCAGGCAAATCCGGAAACAGATGCCAGCCCACAATGACGCGGATATTGCCCCATGTCGTTCATGCACTCCGTCAGAGAGCTCACTGCATGCTAGCTGTTTCCTTTGGTTGATATTGAGACTGCGTTTTGGTTTTAAGAACCGAATTTAGTAATCCTCCCTTCCGCGCAGAAGACTGCTAAACAGGAACCTTTCTGTCTACGCATCCACCAGGACAAGTCTCTTCTTGGGACATTTAGGCTTAAATTGTGGCTGACTTAAAACATCATAGGGGACTATTGATACAAATCCTTCATCCTTATGGGATTCTTTCTTCAGGAATGTTTGTGCTTATGTATAGCCTCCTTGATGGGGTACAAGTACGTAGTCTTTTGTGATTGAATTCTGGAGTAACTTCTGATTGTACCACCGAAAACTGGTTTTATCAATATGTATGTAGGCCGTGATTTTAAAAGCTAACACAAGCGGGCTACATTTCTTTGGATCTAGAAAAATGCAGCATAGTAAAGTACAACAGAGTAGTTCTTTGGGGTATCTCTCAGTTTTTGATACCAGTCACGAAAGTAGTTCCACTTCGAAAAAAGAACAATCTATCAGTTTTCCCAGGCTGTATGATAAAATGTGACAGAAGAAAACTGCACAATTTCATTTCAAATCGATTTCAAATAAGACAATAATAATGTGGCACTAAGTATTGACTACATGTATTCCAGGGAATCTGGTTCGTCACATTATACTGAATTGTAAACATTTATCGACCAGGGGTACGGACTACAGCAGGAAGGTCTTGGTGGTCTGGCATGAGTTTGGATGTTTAAGCTCAACCAAGGCATTGGGAGTCTCAAAAAGTTCCACTGTGAATTCCTCATGTGCATGTCTTCTTCACTCTTCCATGCTTCCAACTTAACTAATGCTCCTTTGATTTTCGTTACATGATTCCCATTTTATGCTATCAATAACGGAACACAAAAATGCACATTTTCTTTTCAGCAATCTGCAAAGTAGGCTGCCATCCAAACCACGGAAATTGTTTGCAGCCAGGCGAATGCGAGTAAGTTCGGTGTTCGATTTGGACCATACATATAGCTATTAAACATCTTGTTTGATTTTTCAGATACCTAGCTAAAGAGTTTTTAACTCTGATGTAGCACATTCCAACTGTGAATTATTGGTCATCGTTTTCCTCATAGATGTGCCATTGGATGGCAAGGTCCATACTGTGACGAATGCGTGAAGTACCCCGGGTGCAAACACGGAACGTGTGACGATGCACCGTTTACCTGTCGCTGTCTGCCGAATTGGGGCGGACCGTTCTGTGACCAAGGTATGTCGCTATGATAGTTCGTTTGCGTCTCCAGAATCTGCTCAAATACCGGAAATGGTTCTGGCTCTTATAAGTAGTGGTGGAAATTGCTGATAAACACAATGGTTCTTTTGGATGCTTTTACACGTTTACTCAATCACAGATGACCCTCTAACATGTGTATCGATGTGTGCATCAGCCTCCGGTGGATCAAACTGATTGTCCACGTTAGGACGTGCGGTTACATATAACGGCTAGACAGTTAATACCTCACATATGGAATATACCTGAATTATGTTCCTTCAAAGAATTTCCGGGTTTTGTCGCTTTCTTCAATACAGAACAATTAGTTAACTGATGGTCAACTAAAGCGACTACAGTGGACGTAACTAAAGCCAACATCAAAGACAATGGTCGCCACATCAGGCCATACAAAGGCTTCTGCTTTTTGGAGTGGGAGCCATCGTTCCATTGCTCCTCCGAAAGTTAGAAAAAAGGGAGATGCAAAGTGTCACGGGAGGGACTTGTAGGACTTTTCGATGAAAATCTTTCGAAGCTAAGCTATTTATTCATATAATGTTCTCAGAACCACTCGCTGTTGTTTTACAGCCATAACACATCATGTATTAGTTCAGTCAACTAATTCAGTGCAAACTTATGCAGAGTTTTGATCACTCAGAATATGATGCGAGCATAAAGCAGCAATGCTAGCTCCCTTCCCGTATTTGTATGTCCAAGCTGATGGTTTGGGTATCCCTTTTTTGTGCGTACTAAACGTTACCTTGAGAACAAGCGTAATATGTTCCCTCGGATCGATGTAAAATCTTACCAATGGCTTCGGACGGCACATATTCAGGTTCAGTGGTCAATCAAAGTTGTGTGGCCCCAGTGATACTATTTTCGTGCAAGGCATTATTTGTTTTGACCTGTCTTGAATAGCCCATTGCCTTTAATGGGACTATATCGTCTTATCTAATGAGGTTACTGGTCACCAAGACCTTAGGTGGTTTCTCCTGTCCAGTCACAGGCAACGTTTGGAAAAGATTTGGTAGCCGGTTAAACTAGTGTGATCTTTCTGGGAGTGTGTGGGGGCGCATTGTTTGCTGCCTAAAAGGAACATGACTAGAATTTTATAAACATTTCAGACCTAGAGTTTCGTTTTCTCACAACAGCCCTCTCCTGAAAAAAGTGAGTTGTCTCCGAAAATATCTGGGTCACTTCTGCTCATGAAGCACGATTGACCGCAAGGTCCGAGCACAGCGGTCTGTTCCACTGTTTGTCCCCATGAACCACATGCAGACCCATTATCCCAAAGTTTGCCCTAACTGTTGAGAGCCAAGTTACAAATGACTTCCGCTGCGGTAGGTCTATTCCAAATGGTGGCCCAGAGAGTCCACAAAGCTTGGAGTCCGATTGAGGTAAACGTATCCCAGCAACAGTGTTCGGCGCTGCTGGATCAGTTTAGAGACCCTGACACCATTGTTGGGCACTCTGTCGTTCCGGCTTGCTTAGTGTATTCGTCCAAAGCACCAGTGGTCAGACAAGGGAAGCTTGTAAAGATCGACAGTTCGAATTCAGGGTCTCATGAGGGTGTCGGACGGTCACAGTGCACACACAGAGCCTCGTTTGAAGACCACTTACTGAGCACCTCCATTAAGCTCATACTGGCAGTGCCGATGTAAACGCATATTTCTTGCCGCGCTTGACCATTTAGGTAGATGATGGGATCAAAGGATGCAAAATGGTTTCCCGTTAGCACATAAGAGATTAGACTGAAACTCATGACTTTGTAGTGAAGAAAATCTCTTTTTCAAAGGTTTATTTCCAGTTTGACTTGAAAACTGTAGTGATTTGAAAAAGAATAGGCCATATCCTCATTCACTACTACGACATCATCGGTGTAATCAGCGTAAGTGATCCATGTGATGCAGATAACCTGAACTCAAGGAAAGTTGCTGACAGTACTCGACGTTTTCCCACAAATCACATCCTTCAAAGAAATCGGTAAAAGTCGTTAGAAAAACATTGGATTTCCCGGAATGCTCGGGTATGGGCATTTATTTGCCTCGTTAATAGACTGTCAGGGTATTCAGCAGCTTGTCTGGCACGCCACCAGCCTTCAAGATAGACCAACATTATTCCCCCTGGAGCGAGTCAAGTGCTGTACCGCCACCAATGAAACACAGTAACTGGTCGCTGGAACATTTGGCGGTGCCCTAAAACACGATATAGCGTGAAATTCTCCTCAATATGGCATGATCTGAGACATTTTCGCTGTTCTGCAGTGGCTTTGTGGTAGTATGTGAAGGGTTTTGGCTGTAATATCTGTCACGATAATACTATGGTAGTAGTAACAATCGTCTATCAGTAACACACTTTCTGTGCTACCTTAAAAAAGCAAGAGGGCTGAGGTTCTCTCAGGTTTACTAAGCCTTGATTGGGGCCTTCCGGTCAGCGTGTTCGTGCCTTAAGTGCCAAACTGTCTGAAATTGTAGTTCTAACAAATAGTTCTGTCGACATTTTAGGTATCGGTAGTAGGATACAGGTACTCCAATAGAGTGGAAATACCTGGGTATACCATACTAAGCGGAAAACTTGCGAGGCTTTTCAGGTTTGTAGGCTTTGTAGGTTTCCAGTGGTGAATTTCTGTTCAACTAAGGCCTGATGAACTCGACTAGTTTACCTTGACTAGGAGCAACTTAGTTGAGGGTGAAGGGCTTTGAGGTTATGCTGTCACTAATGAGTATTTTATGGCTGGAGGGGCGACTGGGTAATCAGCCGAAGCGTTCAGTCAAACTCTTCAGCTTTTCCTCATGCTGTGTTGTTAGTTGACAGTGAAAGTCCCGAAGATTGTGTTGCTGGCCTTACCGTTGCTCTGAAGTACAACAGGATCAGCTAAAAAGGTTGTGAACATTCAACGATATTTTCGGTTTTCTCCACGCCATATCGTGATATCGTCATTGTGCCCTAGTGCGTTTTGTAGCAGCCCCGGCTACCACTCCTTGCTAGCACCATCAGCAGAGCTCCGTTAGCCCATGTGCAACAGAAGTCGCAACATGCTTAGTACCGTCTAACCATGATGATGGAATAGACCTTTCGTCGGCCACACTTTGGGGGCATTAATCATCGTCTTTAGCATGTTTCAGTGATTTTTACTGTTGTTCGGCTTCTTCCCCCAATTAATCGCAGTCCGCACACACTCTTTGCCCTTTTGATTATTAATTGCTTGATTACTCTTGTTTTAGACTTGGACTATTGTAGCCGGCATCAACCGTGTAAAAATGGGGGCATCTGTAAGAATGAACCGACTGCAAGCAAGCAATTTAGTTGCAGCTGTCCAAAAGATTTCACTGGGGAATTGTGCGAAACCAGTAAGTTAATTCTCATCGTGTTTTGGGCTTGTACACTTCTAGTGTACTATAGCAATACGATGAATCCTAGACTTTTTATTTCTCGTCAAATGGGCTTCCGGCTAACACCCCATCCAAACACTGCCTTTTACCAGAAGTTGACAATCTAGATTCATTATTTCAGAGTTGGCACCTTGCACCTGGAATCCGTGCAAACGTGGTCGATGTGTTCCCAAGGGAGCTGATAACTACAGGTGTGAATGTGAACCTGGATGGCGAGGTGACCACTGTGAGAAGAGTAAGTTTATATTGGGCTGACTCGGTCGTTTATGATACTACCCATGATTGTGGTATGTGCACGTGTAGGCAAACCTAACCTGCTGACTAATGTTTGTTGTCAGTTTGGCTGATGCAATATGAATAGAATGACAATGGTTTGCACATGCTTGTAACTCTGATACGAGCTGACTCAATCTGTTCAAGTAAACTATTTCTATGATCCCTGAAACTTAACCCTGAGGATACAGTACCATTAGTCTGGAGTGCTAGTTCAAGCTCTGTTTAACTATTAGTGAATTGTTGATGGACATCACCATCAAAATCTGCCAAGTAAAGGATCGTTAGTTCTTCTTGGCATCAATTGCGCTCAATGTCTTATAATTGCTTGAAATATCAGATAAATTAGCACTCATATGGGATAATCTCAAACTTCAGCCTGACTATTGGTAGCTTCTTTCCATACTTTTTCATAGACATTGACTACTGTTTGAAAAACTCGTGTCTTAATGGTGGAATTTGCCAGGATCTGGACGGCATTGGCTTTCGCTGTCTGTGTCCACCTGGGTTCAAAGGGGCCAACTGTCAATTGAGGTCGCCCTGTGGAAATTCTCGGTGTGTACATGCACGGGATTGTACACAGCTCATTCCACCGGTGAATGGAGTCGAGTACAGCTGCCTCTGTCAACCTGGCTGGACTGGACAATTCTGTGATCAGAGTAAGTTTTAGACGCAACTTCGAGCATATTAAATGGGGAGCCTCTGCGCAGGTCTAACCAGGTCTAGCTAGGTCATTTAGAACCCAGAGCCGAAGACTTTTGAAATAATCACGTGAAATTTGGTCTGTGAGCTGTGATTGTAACCTCTAACCTCTTTTATCAAGTGTAAGTCTGGTCATATTATTCCTTTCAGATGTAGAATTGCGTGCATTTTGATCACAATAAACATGTGACATGAAACTCGCGTGTAGATAGTAAAAACTGCGACGGATCTAACCAAATCACATCAGACAAACCAAAAATTTATGCTTTTTGGGAACTTGAAAAGCAGTCTGATTTGTAGCCAATCTGTGGTTGCACAAATGGAGCATATTAATCCAGCGAAGTATGCCCCCAGGATTTTCTATGAGAGGGCGTCAAGCCGAGTTTGAGATACATTTATCGCCCCCTCCCACTGGAGGTGAATATTCGTCTCCATAGAATCAAAGAAAGAAAGCCATCGAGGAGTGGGTCCACTGCGATAGAATGCATGCCCCAGCAAATTACACGATAAACGAACAAATTCATGAGTTTTAGTGGCACACAGAATATTAAAAGACGAGATTGCAAGGAAGTAGGTTAGATTTTGAGATCACTGGATTAACCATTGCGCAGGTGTTCCTAGGGAATAAAGTACTTTCTGTACTTTCATAAAGGAAACTACTCACAAGGTTGCTGAAAACACTTCGACAGCCCACGACCGGTTTCGCCCTTCTTGGGGCTCATCAGGTAGGCGATGAGCCCCAAGAAGGGCGAAACCGGTCGTGGGCTGTCGAAGTGTTTTCAGCAACCTTGTGAGTAGTTTCCTTTATGAAAGTACAGAAAGTACTTTATTCCCTAGGAACACCTGCGCAATGGTTAATCCAGTGATCTCAAAATCTAACCTACTTCCTTGCAATCTCGTCTTTTAATATTCTGTGTGCCACTAAAACTCATGAATTTGTTCGTTTATCGTGATGAAAATATACTGCGATATCTCGAATATCGTGCCAACTGAATCATGAGGCGGCCTGTGTGCAGCACATTCAGTTGGAGGACATCATAAACGAGAGATTTAATTGACTCTCGCGTGAAAACGAAATTGATTTGCAAATGAGTGTATTTCTCGAATACTTTCTGCACTTTCAATTAGAAATCTGTCAAAACGCTCCTAATACCACATACCTAAAGCGACTGAACTCATCTCCTAATAGTTTTAGGGGACTGGACAAAAGGAATACTCATACAGTTTTCGCATCAGTCCAATATATAGACTCGCGTGTGGTCTGTAGCTTGACACATCATCTGTCTGTTTGCCTGAAAAGACAATTCCTTTATGGATGCAAAACTACGTGTGGTAAGGCTAAAATCGAGAGAGGGTTCCTAGAACGGGACGAAAAGTAAGTCTGGTAAATAACGTAAGCGAACAAAATATCGTCGGTAAGATAACCCTGTACCAAATTCACCAGATAAGGTGTAATACATTACTCCGCAATGCTTGGCAGAAGTTCACTATCAGTTTTGTCAGAGATGCCGGTCAAATCATGATACGCCAAACGCAGTCTTGGCGCCTTCATTAAATGCTGAGGTAACCGAATACAACAGATAAGCAACTGTCTCTAGAAAAAGGCACGTCTGCCGATGAGCGGGCTGACGAGCGACCGCATCAGATAAGATGGGTACTCATCGATAAGGCATCGGTTTCTATGGACAGCGGGATGCTTAGGATGAGCAGGCAGTTAATCTGGATTTAAATGTCAATATCTTCAGCTCTGTCTTTAGGTGTTTTCCTAATAAGGGTGCACAAGCTGAACGGATGTGGGCTGGCTTACCGATATTATCTCCATCCATCTAGGGTGCCATACAAGTGATGAGCAATAACGCGTCTTTTTCAAGTGTTTAGTAGAAGAACCTCATCACCAACTATGCTGACGAGATTTCGACAGTGATCGGTGACAAAGAAGTGGTTTGGAGTTCTGAAAAATTAGGTGTTCAGCGTGACAAGGTCGCTGTTGTCAGTCTGTCCGCACACGGCTGTCGAAGTGCATCAGACCTCAAGACAAGTTTCCACTACTAATGAACGTCTCAACCAATATCTTACTCGTGCGGCAGGTTTCAGTCTAGTTTGGTTGTCAGCCTTTCTACCTCAACACGCTGTTATTGTACGTGCACTCTTCCGTCCTCGAAGATGCCTTACAAATGGCCTGCGAAGGTGATACACGAGACTTTCCGTGAAAGACCACCACCGATCAAAATTTCATAGCACAGTGAGCAAAATAATATAATAGATAATATAATATAGTATAATAGATAATATGATATAGTATAATATTATAATAATACAACATAATATATTATATTATAGCATAATGCGATTAAAATAACTTGTGGCAGCTGTAGACGGAGTAAGATATCACCATTAGGCAACAATTATTATCTTCATCTCTGGGGGAGTCCTGCTCTAGTCAAATGTTGACTCAGTGGACAAGGTTACAGGTAGTCTGTGCAGGTTACCTATTCCACTTCAGTCTTGAAAATGCAGGTGGAACCAGAAATGACGATAGGTTTCCTATTTTCCTAGTGTTTAGTTTTCTGTCTTGCCTCGTAACTTGCTGATACGAAAACTCATGCTTTGGCTTAGTTTGAGAAGTTGGAAAACCGTTAAGGCTGGCATACATTTATTTTCGCAGTCTCCAAGATCATAAGGCAACGACGACTGCTGTCATCGTTTTATAATTAGTATATCGTTCAAAGTTATAACACAAACACAGTACAAGTCTAACCGAGACATTGCTTGTGAGGTTGCTGAAACCTCTTTAGCTCCCCATCATCACTTTTATGACTAGTGTAATATGAAAGTAGCCACCTCAATACAGAGAATCCAGATCCAGTTTCAGTATGAACAGAGCTATGTACAGCGTACTTAGCCGTAGGTAGTTATGAAAAGGGGACTCCCTCGAGGCGGTCCTCAACAAAAGAGTGGCTATGTCAAAACAGCTGAAGGCATGTTTAACCATAACATGCAAGATCTTTCCAGTGTAAAAGTGAGGTAGGCGGTATTCATTAGTTTATGGGCCTTTGGTAGTACTTTCACCTGTCCCTGAGATGAATATCCTAACCAATTAAAAGCATCTAATAGATGGCTAAATGGAGATTTTGCATAATTTCATCAATAATCGGCGATAAGATATATTGCAAGGAGTTATTCGGAAACTGCGCTCGACATGTTTACTCACATAAAAGCAGTATAAGGCTTCCAGTATTCCATTGTAATGAAGAAACTCAAAGTGTGGTTTATGTTTGCTCTAAATGTATATTTTTTCTGTTGAAACGGCGCTACCTGTGAGGTTGGGAAGACAGATGAATCATGTCATAAAGTTTAACTTTGTCCAGGATTAACTGCGGCCCGTTTTTACTTTACAAGAGTATAACTCGAGACATAATATTTTCGTTCCATTTTCGCTAATTATCAGTTCTACACAACATTTTTACGCATCCCTATAGACTCACACATTTGACAGACTTCATCATGTATGTGTAATCAGAGAATGTTTTGTGTTCAGGAAGCCTCATGTTCTGTCTCTCCCATAACAGATATTGATGACTGTGTGGATAAGTGTCAGAACGGTGGAACGTGTCATGTAAGTTTCCCGTAGACTGTCAGGTTTGTTATCGTTTGCAACTCTACTCATTTAAAAGAACAGTTCATCCTAACATAGGTAATGTTTTTCACCGTTCATCCATTTATAAAAAGGCATATCAATATCATTTTCCTGGATAGCCTTCAAAATAAAGTGTCACAGTTACCGTGACTAATTACTAATCTGTCCGTGGTTTTCAGCAGAGTACCGAGGCTCAGATTTGTTTGTCTTCAGATCCTCCGTTTGTGGTTCGTCCATAAGAATACATCAATTACGAGAAGTTAGTATTTGCCTTCACGGACGCAAAAATATGTCCTTTTTTTCGGGTGCGTGCAGTAATGAAGATCGAAAATTTCGACATGTAGTTACAAGTGTCAGGGTAGGCGTAACTTTCCAGTCCGTATCTTAAGTGCGCAAAAGACTAATTTTGTCTTCCTAATCAGAATGACTTTGATTAAATTTCCACTAAGATTTTTCTAACAAATATTCCATGACCAGTTTTCTTCACACAAAAGCGCTGATTAAATATGTTGGCCTCCTGTTGACTCGACTCTTCGTAATAGTCTTCGCAGTGTCTACTGTCCGTTGTAGGTGAAGTAGATGTAATTAGTGAATTCTTATCATAGAGGATGCATCACAATGAAGGTTGATTATAATTATTATGTTTACACATTATCGTATTACCTGAATTGTAAAGAAATTCATCCTGTAACTGAAAAAGTTATCTCGGACTTATCAAACCAAACACGGTTAATAATGCTCAGCTGCTCCGAAGTTTTTCAGCCGGAACGAGGCGTTAGAACAATTCAACATCAAGACTTATCTAATAGGTTTGTGTTTGAATGCCATAGAGGACCATTCGTCCAGTGTTTTGTTGCCGTGGTTCTGTAAAGCTAACGTCTCGTTTATCCGTTTTCCCGCCAACTCTTCATCCTACTCTTAATCCAACGTGCTGTACGAATAAACGTAGTAAATTTGTGCTGCGAAAAACTTATCTTACATTCTCACACACACTACCAGTTATAGTACGACTACTGAGAAATTGTGGGGAAAAATATATGAGACTGTTTCAGCATTCCATTTCTAGAGCTAGGTTTAACAATCAGGAATAATTCAAGAAATTATTCTAGTGAGTCCACACAAAAGGGGCTCACCAGAACAATTACGCCAGAACCAGAAGATGACCGTTCAGGCGATGGTGGTGTGAATACAAATCAAGAAATACCTAGGAAACCTGTGTACACCAAGCCCAACAAATCGGGTTAATCCATGCTCCTGAGTGCAATCCTAATAGACCAATGTAGACTGCATGTGATAAATAAGTCTGATGATACAGGTATGGCACTGTAAATTTATTCAGCCTTATGATAACTTACCAGATGTCAGGTTTCGTTTCACATGGTGAATAAATATAGCATGGTTCAAAATTTCAGTAGCCATATTTTGTGCTTGTAGACAGGTTCAAATGCAATAAGCAAGTGGCATATGTGATATTTTGGGTCAAAATTTGAAGTACGACAAAAACTGCGAGTAATCTGCGAGAGAGAAATCACTTAAGTCGATTAGCTGTAGACTATCAAAGATGTCTAATCAGGACGTCGGAACGCCCAAACACCGAGTTTCACCGTGTCATTTCCTATTGCTTATAGGATTTGGTGGACGATTTCTATTGCACTTGCCCGAAAGGTTTTTACGGAAGACACTGTGAAATCAATCGTGAGTGTACCAGTGAGCCATGCCAAAATAATGGCATTTGTCACGAGATTACTGGAGGATATCGCTGCGAATGTCCGAACGGGTACACCGGTCATAACTGTGAGGTAAGTAGTTGAGAGAAAAACTATCCATACATTCGTACCATAAGGTATTGTCTTGGATAGTTGTTGACATATTTTGAGTGACTTTAGTGAAATAGGTTTAGCGACCGAAATCGATTTAGAGATTAAGAATTACTAAGTGGCATGAAACTGCACGCATTCTGTAAGTCCGGTCTCTTTGCTAATGGAAATTTCCTCATATTCTGTTCAGATTGCGACGAATGGCTGCAGTCCAAATCCGTGTCAAAATACTGCATACTGCTACACTGTGCCGAATGGTTTCTATTGCAAATGTTCTTCAAAACATTACGGGCAATTCTGTGAACATGAGCGTCCATACTGCGGACCAGCAGGTTGTGCCATTGTCACAGATCCATGTCTCACCTCAATGCAAAGCCGGTCAAGCGTCTACCCTTCTCTCACTCAAACTGTCCCACAGAACGACACTGCTCTCTCTGAAGAAACACATGCAGTCAGTTCTCCTTGGGGAGTTTGCGGCCCCCACGGGACCTGCGTGAAAACAGAGGACGAGGGCATGGGTTACATGTGTGTATGCAGTAGTGGTTTTCAAGGAAAATATTGTCAAGAACCAGTAAATCATTGCGAAGATAACCCATGCATGCACGGAGGAACGTGTATTAACACTCTCGACGGTGTTGAATGCATGTGTCAGGAGGGCTTCGTGGGCCCTTTATGTGAAACACGTGAGGATTCTTTCCATGTCTGTTATTTTTTAGTTGGTCCACACTCATTTATATGTAAGTTCTTTAGTTATGTATTGGTAAGTGCTAAGGCAGGCGGTGAACGGATGAGCAAAGTAGACGCCATCTGCCTCACAAATTTTCATCCCATGACAATATTCTGATGAAAGTTACCCACTCGCCTGAAATGGAGTGTTTATGGGTATCCTAGACATCTACAGCTAGATTCCTGAAAGTATGCTTTCGTTTTGACCTCAAATCAATGAATGACGGGTTCCTCTTCCGTCATTCTCAGAACACTACGTAGCAATATTCTAACAGCCATTTCTTCAACCATTCTGCAGAACTTCAAATGTGACATTCTATTTGACATTCCCTACAGGTTAGGAAATTTGTTGTTATGAGGTGACCTTTGTGGTGGCACGACAGGTTTATCGAGGGAAACGGCTAAAGTTTTCTTCACCAAAAAAAGCAATCAGCGGTCATGAAATACACTTCTAGTTTGTAGCTCTGTATAAAAACATGGTGTGCATATGAGATCCTAAAAAAATGGTCTTGATCGTTACTTCAGTAGAGGATTCACCCCATAGCACTTAAGCCCAGGATATCACGTCTGAGAGTTACACTGGGCACCTGGCGTTCGACAACAGCAACGATGCAAGTAGGATTACAATAATCTCTTTTGGTGGCATTTGGACCACTATAAATCGCAACGTTGACCTGCTTCAGATGAAACGATAGATATATGTTTGTGTGAAAGGGAATCCTGATGACTCTTAAGACATATTTACACGTCAAAATAAAGCTGAGACGTGTCAGAGATATTTGTATTGTCTTGAGCCACAAAAGTATACACTATATATAGTTACTCGTGTGGAAGATTCATATGTAGGCATGGAGTCCGCAGAAGGCTAATCCGTGTGCTGATTGATCTAGACGTTTGAACCTAACATACTCAAACGGGACGTCGCGAATCACCCATCACATTCAACGAAAACTAGTTAAGTGAATACTCATTTAATATGATTGGGAATTTACAATTCCAAAGACGGTGTCATACATTAAATGACCGCTGAAATCGGTGATGAGAGTGGCAGAAACATTACGACTCATAATTTATGGTAGAATCACATCACGCGTCTACTTTCGCCCAAGCGGATTTCCTGTTTGTAGCGATCAGAACCTCTATTTTAATAGCAACCAATAACTTTGGAGATCGGTGAGGGCAACCTTTTTAAAAAGGAATAATTAAGACCATTGTTTAAACCGCCTCCTAATCTATTCCCTTAAGTTCCATCTGATGAATATAATTCTGCAATTATCAGAATGTTTTGTGTGAACACAAACTAAGGCACTTATGCGCATATGACTCTGACCTCAATAGACTTGAAAAGCAACTAAGTACAGTTGTGCAACCAAATGTCCTAGTCTACTGAAGACGAGCTTGCGAACACATAGAACTGAGCAGTAGAGACCTTTACAAACACAATGGACTCAATGGCTTTTATTTTAATTCTAATCTGGAAACTGACCCATATATTGTCCCCAATCTACTCACACTGCGTCTGGCTTCAGTCTGCCTTCTGATCCGAAAATTGGTTCAAAGGCCAAAGGAACCCAGGTGGTTATCTCTGCTAACATGAGGTCATCTTGTGTGGCAAACATGAAGCACCAAGCTAACAACCATCATTTGATAACCGGCCTTCGCAACAGAACAATCAACATGTCAGTGTAACTTTCAGGCGAGTGCTTATGACATGGGTTTAGCTTTGACCCTGAGTCCTTTTTCACTTGTATGCGATTCGTCTGTAAATTTATCCAGGTCTAGGGAGAATGGTCTCTGTAGGGAGTAGATGGTGTAAAGGAGTTTTTTGTGTCTCTATCGAATTAACTGAGATTCAGCTGAACAATCTGTACAGTGTATACTCTAACTGTTGTATAAAGACTTCTTCTTCACTCGAATACCTTGGTGTTTTCGTGATTTATCCGCAGCCCAGGATTTGTGTCACCCTAATCCTTGTCAGAACGGAGGTAACTGCCATCACACCATTCACCCTGGGGATTTCTTCTGCAGCTGTGACGTTGGCTGGTCAGGTCGATGGTGTCAATTGAGGACAGAAGATCCTTGCAATGCTTCCAGAATATGTTTCAACAATGGGGCCTGCCACTCCAACCCTCATATTCCTGGTGGATTTCAGTGTGAATGCGGAGAGAACTGGATGGGATCAGTGTGCCATTTGCGTAGGTCACAAAAAGAGTTTTATTATGCTGGGCATGGTTTTCCATAGACCACTGGAAAAGTCTTCAGAATAAAATAGGTCCCCACAATGGGCGTGTCGTGTAAAGCTTCAAGAGTGAGATACGATCAAAAGCACTCGTAAATCTCCCGTCACCAAGACCGCGGTCACAAAGAAACCGCGTCAGAATTATATACACACTTCCACAGAACAATGGAGAATGAAGCTCTAGTAAAGAGCGAACAAGAGGAAGCACAAGGAACGCTCCATACGAAATGCGCGAGAACGATAATCAAACTCTCATTCAGCCTAATCGACTTTATCTGCCACTCTAGCTACTCCTTGAGTTCAATTTAAGAATTTTCTGCAACAAGCCAATTCCCACCATGTGATCAACCGACTAAGGAGGCCTGTGGTCTTTGGGTCTTGGAAACCACAGTCCTACAGTAAGATTGTCATCACAGTTATTTTTTAGACAGAGTTATTTGGTATGAGTCAAAGAGGCTCCTAACTGCTAACAGCACCAAAGCCGGTGAATGTAGCTCGCTCCTGATGACGTGCAGCAATCCTGCCTGCCGAGATGTGTAAACCAACCGATAAATTAGTGTTGTTCAGCATTAGGTAAACTATACGGCAATTGTTCAACTTGACTATCTACACCCTGTTCCTGTTGTTTTCTTTAACACCAACATATCTTAAAAATGGGTATATATTAACGAATTGGATCCAATTTTGCTTGGGTAGAAGGTGAAGTTGAAGTTGACTACCTGGTATGCCTTGAGATATGTGAAAATGGCACTGGGGTGTCGGCGAATTTTAGGCAACTTCAGGAGTAGTATAAGCCATTAAGATAAAGCATCAACGTCTGCGCATTCGATGCTCGTTTGCACTTCCCCAGCTATCAGACGGACGCCTAGATGCACGGTTTTCCGGACCGACGATGACGATAGTGACAAAACTGGACAAAACTTGAGACAAAATACAAACTTCACGAGCTAAGGCATCGCAGTAATACTGTAGCCAGCAGTCATGATACCGAAACGGTAAGTATTGTGTTACTGTGACCGAGGAAGACGCTTCAGAGACAAATTTTTCAATAAAAACTGAGTGGTTCATCGAATTGTTTTAAAAGATGTTCTTATTTCAGAATTAGCTTGGTAATTTTGTCAAGGTTAAACATAAAGATCTCTCTACACTGATGAGAGTTTATTTGTTCCTGCTGCCCGACGGCCTTTCAAATTTGTAAAAAAAACATTGGAACAACCTATGGAAGAAAAACAACCACTCTCCTCGAGAAAACAAAGCAAGTGACAACTCTTCCACCTTAGCACTACCCCGCTGGAGTTAGCTCTTAGGTAGGATCTTTTACTCTGAGCAAAAACGATGCATCTTTGAGCCGTTGACCAAAGGGGAAGAATCGGAACTTTCTTTTGCTTGTTGCTATTTTCGTACAAATTAACCGGTTTTCAGACCTGTTAAAAGCTTTAGGCGCTAACTCAGACCGTTCTCTGTTATTGACAGTAAATTCCTAAATCACAAGTCAAAAAGGTCACTATGTTTAAACACGTGATGTTATTCGTTGATTGTTTAAGAACTGGTCAAATAACTGGACGTTACTCTGTTGTTTTATCTGTGCAATAAATATCTCCATTATCACAAGTCAGTGTTAACTATATCCCTATGATTTAAATGTTCTCCACATGTTTTCATATTAGGTCGACCTGACTCAAGAGCTTGTGCAAACCGAACGCTATGTAAAAACGGAGCAACGTGTGTCGATGTCGGTGATAGTTTCAACTGCATTTGTCGACCTGGGTTTGATGGACAATACTGTCAAAACAATATCAACGAGTGCAGTTCAATGCCCTGGTAAGCCATGTTGTGGGAGTGCTTTTATATTTTGAGAATAAGTTGAAAACATGAATTTAGATGAGTGAGCTCGAACTAGGTACTAACTGCACACATTTTCTTGCCCCCTCATTCAACATCGAGATATTAACTTATTTGACTTGTCATTCATATTTTCAGGGGAATTTGGCCGATCCAGGCATCAGCAAAGTAACCCGATGAGTGGAAATAATCTTGAGCACTGAAGCCACCGGACTTTACCAGCGTACTTCATTTGTGGAACTCATAGTTTTACCTTGAGAGTAGTAGCGAGTTTCCATAATTATGTGTGGTCGTGATTCTGTACCACTGGAATGTGTGAATCAACCAAGCCAGCTAAATTCTCCGTTAATCGCATAGGAAGCATTCTACTCACAGTGAGCAGCACTCAGGCAGAAAAAACAGTCACCAGTGACTGACACTTTCATCTGTGACACTAGTATCGTTTCGTTTACTGAATAAAGGGAAGTGGACTATACACGGGTTATTGAAAAAACCTCGGATCTTGTATGCTGATAAGTTGCCCATATTGTGGTTCATCTAGAAATTTGCACATTATTTATATATTTTAGAAACTGTTAAAAATTTAAACAATCAGTGGACTGAGTCCTTAATATAATGTGGGTTGTGGGCGACCACAAGTGGTATTCAAGCATGTTATACGTTTCGATATTCAGCAACTGACTACAATCTCAAGAGCAGTTTACAGTTTACAGTATTATGACCGCGTGGTGAAGCAGCAAAGTTTCCGTTAACTTCACTGTTTTGAGCGGAAATCCCATCTAGAGAGAACCTAGAAATAGCGAATATTTTGAACGTCTCATGACGGTGTTTCCTATAGAAGCATAATGAGCCAAACGAGGCGTGCATGAGGATTGTTTGCGCCCCCTTCATGTGAAGAACGTTGCATTGGTTAATCGTTTCTCTCGTATCTGATGTAAATAAGTTCGTTAACAAGCGTTTACCAATAAGATATATGTATCTTCTTCAATTTTGTCCATAAGATATGCGTATGGAGTACTTAAAACACCGTGGAAATACTTTGTCCTGAATCGAAGCACTTTAACGCTCATTTGCAAAGAGAACAAGGAAGCCAGAACGCTATGTCCGAGACAGGTACTCAAAATTTGCAGTACAAACTAGCATAGCACTGCTGAGGACTGTGACCGGTCTTCTCGTCTTAAAAGCAGACCCAGAATCGTAATCGTGGCTTGCAAGGGTGCTACGGCGAACGTTTCGATATACGATACTGACTCTCAGAGCGATAGCATAATGAATGCAGTCGCATCTGTGATGAGCTGGCAAACGTTTGCCAGGCATGCAATTTCCAAAAACAGCAATAGTTAACTTGCAGCTGGAGTCTTCAGACACAGGTAGTTCCCGGAAATTCCGATTACATTTGAGCTGTTTGCTGAGTGTTGCAGTCTAAAGTATTTTGGCTAAAATTAACAGTTATTGGTAAAGCCTACAGTCTCTTTCATCTGTTCTATTGTTTACTCTTACTGAAAAATCTGTAACATTCTGTCAGATTGTCCGTAAAATAAGTCTCATCAAAAGTGGAGACATTAGGCTTCATTATTTCCACATTGTTACTGAATATTATGTGAATGGAATCAGCCGATAATGATGTTTACTTGTTGAGGGGGTGATAGACACACATAAATCTAATATTCATCATCATCATCATGGACAGCAAGAGGTCACTGTTCAACACTGATGTTTCGCTGCCATACAACCATGATTTATTTGAAAGTCATGTTGTGAAGAAAAGAGTATAGATGGAAGGGTAAGGGAATTGGTGCTAGCTTACCACAATCATTCCGAGGTGCCCACACCTCCAGACATTCACTCAGGCAATTTGAATAGAAACTGACAAAAAGAACGCCACCGACATCGATTCTTAGCCATAGTTTGCGGGGTCTCCAACCAGGCGCACTGAGGATCCTGGAAGGCGATTAGTGCCAACAGCCCCCAAACGTTTCGAAATCTCTTTCATACCCCTCTGCCAATTGAAGGTCGGTCACCTCTCTGTTTCCGGAGTCTGAATTGGGCACGGGAAACAGCACTGTCTTCGGCAAACGATGTTTCGGCATACGCAAAACGTGGCCTAATCAACGCAGCTTCTGGTTCTGAACACATTCTTTAATGGAAGTACCCGGTGTACAACAGAAAAATCGCTTCCTAATTCCTTCGTTACGGATTCGCCAACACCATCTCACACGAGCTGGCCTTTTGATACAGCGATTGTTGAACACATGAAGACGTTTCAGTTTCACTGCTCGAACGGGCCAATCTCACATCCATATAACAAACAGCCTTGATAAATACGTCCCTTGATATCCATAGATATACCGCTATGCAGTGGCCTTGAAAAGACGGCGTCTTCTGTCAAGAAATGACAGTGGCTAAAGTCTAACTGTCAGAGTAACGAGTTTTTAGCCTCTGATATAGTGACTATTGTCCGTTCGCGGTTATTCTTAGGGTCTTTGGAGGAGTTTGCTTCTAAGGCAGCGCGTAACAGGTTTTAGTTTGTTTGTTTCGTTGACACACGATGGGATGGGACGTATTCTTCAATGGTCGAGAGTCGAGTACTGACACTTTGCCACCAGTGGCTAATGTGTGTGTGGTAGATCCGTCCCTTGGGAGAGGTCAAGTAGCAAAACTGTGTCCATAGGTGGCTCAAATTAGCCATCCGAGCCTTGCTGATTCGTGCAGTGACCTCATCTGTCACACTATAATCAGCAATAATACAGCTTTCAAGGTATGTATGCAGGAGTGCACATGGACTGTTCAGTGACTGCATGTCCACGAGCATGACCTTACATTTTTGGATGCAATGTGCATGAGAAATGGCTAAATGACTCCGGTTAATTCGTCCAAAAACACCTGCGCCTTCTTTTTGCTCTTCGAAGATGAGAACGATACCGTCTGCAACGATACCGTCGACAAAGTTTTCGCCAGAGGACCTTCCATCGTTCATCTCATTATGTCACTGATCACGAAATTAAGTAGGAATGGAATGTACACCACTTTGTGTACAGAAGCTTTTGGAGGGCTCGCCGTATATCCTCATGTTCACATACTTCCGGGACGTGCCTTGGTAACAAGAGTGCCAAGTTGAGCAGACCAGTCAACTGAGTCCAATACACCTTGAAAATCCAGGAGTACTAAAATTATGGGTCCCTTGTACGTTTGGCGTTGAGCTATTGTGGTAGGTGTGCAACAGTGCGTGATGCTTTCTGTAAGCTGCTTAAGTGAAATTACTGAAGCAAATTTGGAGTCCATTAGTTACCATCAGAGTGACAGTGGCAAATCCGCTTGGAATTCTTATCGCATATGCTACCATGGTGTGAATTTAACGGTTTCAACGGTGTTTAATCTACTATTCAGCCATACATCTCTAACCTAACGCGCACTGACTAACGTGCTCAGTTCCTATCGTGCTAGTCGGACTATTTCTCCATTCTTTTGCCTCACAGCTACAACAATGGAACATGTGTAGATTTGATCAACTCATTCGAGTGCCAGTGCCCCAAAGGATTTACCGGGAGCGACTGCAGTATCAGTACGTTCCTAGGGTTTTCACTATAATTCATCGTTCTCGTAAGACTGTCGAACCATTTATGCACATGTGAGACGCCCTTCTATAGTGTCATTAAATCCTAAGAATGTCGGACAATTGGGCTTATCATTTCCAAGAGCTATATGTACAAAATTAACAGAGTTGTGAATTTCCTGGAGTTTCACAAATGAAGCAAAGCGAATCTCCAGAAGCTATATTTTTGGTGGCGGTAACCTCTTACCTATATTGCTGGTGTAACACCTAGGCTTCACCACTGTTCTCATCTACAGGGCGCTTATAAAAAAAGACAGCTTAGACTATCAGCAGAAGTTTACGTTCTCGAGAGAATATATCTAATAATACCGTGTGTGAACGATGCAGTCTTGAGGCAAATTCGAAAAATAGCGAAAAATTGCTGATCAGTCGTGTGTTGTTCTAATCAAAGATTGCCTATTCATGCCAGATAAAGCTTGATACTAAATGTGGTTAACAGTTTGCGTTTGTGTACCCGTCCTAGTTTAGTTAGTGAGGGTAAGCGAAACAAGCAGTCACTCTTGAAAACCTTTCAAAATATACAAGGGGCTCATGAGGAGGTCATAATATGCCACAGAACTGAGTTGCACCACCAGCTGAAGTTAAATGAAGCTGTTCTTCTCCGGTGCACTTGGTAGACATCAACGAATGCGCGACCAATCCTTGTGCCTTCGGTTCGACATGCATCGATCGAGTTGGGGACTACCAGTGTATATGCCCTGAAAGTCGCCATGGTCGTCATTGTGAAGAAGTGCTTATCTACAGCCCACCGAAGCCACCAGCGTGTAACTTCCACGAGCGCATATATGATCACAACGAGACGTGGACTTACGATTGCCAGCACTGCCAATGTGACATGGGACAAGTCGTGTGCAAAGACGTGAGTTTTTTAAGATGGCTATACTCTTGCCCGCTTTACCCCAAAATTTGTTTGCACTTTTGGAATCTGATTCAAGCATATCATAAAGTGTCTTTGCTCAACAGTAATTTAGTAAATTTGATTTCACGCACACAATTTACTCAAGGGTGGTTGTTACTTATTGCATATTCGTCAGTAGATACGTCAGCAGTAGATGAATATGCAATTTACTATAAACAAATGCTTGTTTCGGGTCTGAATAATCACGTTATAATGTGATCAAACATCCATGCATGCATGGAGCAAAGACTTGCAAGTGTCATATTGTCGGAGGATGCATCTCAGCTGAAGTAAAATACTCCAGATGTACAAAAGCCGCTTAAAAAGGGATTACACTAAATCAGACTAAAAGTCTCGAAACCAGGTTATTCCAGTCACCTCTTCATTTACAAAGACTGTGATAAATCATTGTACCAGACAAGCGAGTTTTCTTGCCATTATGACTGAGTCCTACCAGCCAACATTCAGCAGCTTCCCACCAGGTGAGACGAAGCTCACTCAAGAGTACCAAAGTAGATGGCAAAATTGCCAAAGAATTCCGTACAACATGAGCGGCGTCATAAAACGACATCGTCTTCACCCTCTGGATCCCGCAATATATTACTTGGATCACTTCGTACTTCCGTGTTGGGGGTTCCATCGAAGGCAAACTATTCTCCCTAATGAATTCAGTTTTGCGCTTGAGCTTTCTTGTGACATCTTTTGCACTAGCTCCCTCATTTCTAAAACCTTCTGGTCCCACAACGCCTCTCTATCCGAAGAGGGAGTTCCTTCGATTTTATGTTTAATAAACCGCCAGGCCGAACTATGCAGTGGCCTTGAAAAGGCAGTGTCTTCTGTCAAGAAGTGGAGGTAGTGGCTGAGATCTAACTGTCAGAATAACGAGTTGTCCGCCTCTGATCTAGTGACTATTGTCTGTTCCCGGTTATCCATAGGGTCTTTGGAAGAGGTTGCTTTTAAGGCAGCACATAACGGGTTTTATTTTGTTTGTTTCATTGACGAACGATAGGATGGCCTGAACAAACATAGGTATTTCTGAAGGATCGACGGTCTAGTACTGACCCTTTGTCACCAGTGGCTAATGAGTATGTGGTCGACGCGATTCTTGTAAAGAGAAGCTAAGTAGCACAAGTGCGTCCGTTCCATTTAATTCCAGCAGTTCTGAAGAACAAAGCTGAGAATGTAAAGACGTCTAAAATAAATCCACCATTTGTAAAACGTCCTGAGTTTAAACCAAACGTAGCATCAAGCCGTGTAATTGTGCACTGAAATAGCTAGAGAATTAAAACATGTGTAGTGCATATTTAGGACTACATTACTCAAACAAACGGTTCTTCACGTCTACATTTGTTACGAACAGAACTATAAGCAAATAGCAGCTACTACTTCGACCGGTGCGATTTCTTTTAGGAGTGGGGAGAACAACGGCAGAGGCAACTGCGTAGGGGAGTTATAGTGGACACTGCATGTGTACCCTAGCTGAGTGGTCTACTTCGGTAAACAAATAACCAAATCACGATATGAACTAGTACGTCCTACCCTGTCAACTCTAAGGTTGACACATGTAAAAACCGACCTTAACATTCAGCTTCATGCAGAACGAGCATACATGAGCACACAAGTGAGTGCTCCTGAACTAGACACTTGACTACAAGGAAAAACAATGACAATAAGAAGCCGGTAAACGTGGCGCCTAACTAACGGCTGGTGAAATTGAACGTATAATCTATGTGCAAAATTCTCGGACGGAATGCTGCTCGTTCTTCTCGGATTTGCACCTCGAGAAGTGAGTTTAACCGAAGATCAGTCACCGGATGTCCATACGCCATCGGTAACATAACTATGAGTCTGTGGTTGGTCCGGCCAAAAAGCGCATACTTTTGAAAATGGACGGATAATGGCAAACCACAAATTAGCGGGGCTCTCTGAAACCCAACCTTTCGGACAAATAAAGCAAGTTAATAGCTACGAGTGAATCCGAACCCTTTAAACAGGGCTTGCGGTACGTTTTCGGATCCCGGGACTCTGTGGATCTTCAGCTGCAGAGTTTTAACGATGACTTCATTAGAAGCTGGTCATCAAGGCTCACGGATGGTACAGAGGGAATCATACAACTGCTGTTAAGTTTCGGTGTGGAACGGTAATTGAACCAATTGCTAGAGTCCTCGTATACCGTTAGGCATACTAACATACATTTGGACGGAAAGGGGTCCACGAAAGAGGCAAACAGTTTTCCACACAGACATCCACTTTTGAATGTCGGTAGAGTGTCGTCTACCCAAACTATTTTTATCTCGGTCAAGCCCGCCGACCCCGACGTTCATGCTGTTAATAGCAGTGTTCGTATCACAAGTGGCAGAGTTAACTCTCAAAAGTACAGTTCCAGTTGATTAAGACTCGCGTAGCTTGAGAGTTTATTTTGTTTCGAATTTCCTTTGACCTCCTGATTAAGCCGCTCAAAGTTTTGGCAAATACTTTGCTGTTGACCGAGAGCTGTATGTGAGGTAGAGCTCACCACTCGTCGCAGGTATTTTCAATGTTGCCCCAGCCTTTCACTGCAGTAAGTTAGCTGTATACAACTGGTTCGAACTTTACTGGTTGATTTATGTGGAAATTAGCACAATTAATGTAGTCGATTATAACAGTCTGGATTCTGATAAACACTAAACATAAGGGTTCATTGATTCTAGGTTATTTGGCAGCAGATAAGCATGATCGCATGGTTGCATGTTGAACGCTACTAATTTGAACACCGTGTGAGGGACTAAGATGGCATACTCCGTCAACACTGGATGTCTTACGAATTCTGAAGGCTTGTTTGGACGTGAAGATTGGATGTCACTTGTGATGCACTGTTTACTAGCTGGTTAGGGGTGTGAAGATGAATAGGGCTTGAGGAAAACTGATACCGGCCTAAATGAATGTGTCAGTTTCCGGGTCACCACCATCTTGACCGATTGCTTGCAGGCACAGTAATGCATCGTTTCCAACTAAGAGGTGTTTCGTATTCGTATTGTGAGCAGTGCTCGTCACGGATGCCAGACGAAAGAGATTTCTCTGGAAGCAATATCGCAGAATGAATGCGGTGATCGTAATGCACCGGGCGCCGAAGATTACCCCCAGTTTGTAGGCCCCTCGGATTCATCGAGCACATACAGTGCACCCATGATCGGTATTTGATGAAGAGCTCCGAAGAGTCGGAATTGGTCACAGAATGACAAAGCACTGACATCAGTTACCGCACATACCATCCTTAAATGGCTCCGAGGAAGGGACCGTCCACCTTTCCTAAGTTGCTGATAGTGGTCCGCAAACCCGGCTGGAGCACCGCTTTTATCTTTTAGGTTAGCGTCATGAACAGGTAGTAGATATGACTGATCATACTCACGTGTCGACTCTTAGGAAGAATTTCTTACATATAGTTGGTGTCTTCACCGTGATGGGACAATTCAAAGCAACGCAAATCAAGGACTCGAAGCAGCCAATGACAAAGACTTGCATGTGGAGCGATGGGTGGCACCTTGCTCGGGAGTTTGAGCCCTCAACAACAACGAGGTAACCGGTCATCCATACAACCCTATTACGATTCTAAGTATCCCTTATATCCTACAATACTTTCAACCAGGTAATGGCCTCAAACAAACATTTTGGGTGCAGATGGCCCACTAATGACAACTGCCTGACAAAGGTGTGGTATAGCAACAGAAAGTCTGAACAACACCTTAGCATCTCACTCTTAACTACAGTAAAGAACATATCGGCCTGTGGTAAATTAGTTTGAGTTTCGCATACACAAAAATTCGACATATTTGCTGATCACTGAACACTCCTCAATCATCAATTCTGTTGTCAATGCCAGAAATCTCACTAATTAATAAATTCACTTATGACGCTGATATTATTGTTCTGTTCGCAGGAATTTTGTGGATACTGGTCCTGTTTTCGTGCCGTGGGCCAATCAGACCCGTTCGCTTGCAAGGCAGATGAGGTCTGCCACATCCTGTCATCCGGTGGGGAAGGCGAATGCTTTGTCCCACCTTGCTATCTGAGAACAGTCTGTTTGAACACTACTCAGTCGATCCCAGCCCAGTTGCGACGCATGATGCCAGATATGTACCCTGGACCAGCTATGCCTGGTTGTCGCCCAAACGCAGCACACCTCAACAACCGCTGTGCTCGTATCATACTGCAATTTTCCAGAGCGAGACTGCCATACGGCGTTACCGTCGGCGATGTATGTATGTCAGTGCGCCAACTTCCTACTACATTGCGGCACCGAGAAAAACAAGAAGAGGCTAAAAACTTCGGCATGAGTTGCGATTTACGTGCAACCTACACCAAGGAGCAAGGAAATGCTATAGAAGTGAGAACTTTCTTAAAAACAACTCTGTGATTGGCTAGTGGCTTGCAAAACGTGCTCTCGGATAGGCCTTAGGCCGAGTTAGATCAGTAGGTTATCGTGAACGTTGATAGTGATCGAATGATCTTTTACTTAATAGAAGTAGGCGCATTATATACTAGCTAACAAGGCCAAATGATACTTTGTTAAATTAGATATAGACGTACTGACACAACGCACAACCAATAAGACTCTAAAAAAATTCTTCGATAGCCTACGACCGGTTTCGCCCTTCTTGTCGCTATCATAAAGTGTTATCGTGAACGTTGATAGTGATCGAATGATCTTTTACTTAATAGAAGTAGGCGCATTATATACTAGCTAACAAGGCCAAATGATACTTTGTTAAATTAGATATAGACGTACTGACACAACGCACAACCAATAAGACTCTAAAAAATTCTTCGATAGCCTACGACCGGTTTCGCCCTTCTTGTCGCTCATCATAAAGTTGCGGTCGCTGAGTTTCTATGCTCTCCTTGAAAATCAAATTTTACACAGTGTGCGGAATAGATTAGTTCGCACATTTGATTGATGTTAACGAGAGATTCAAATAATTGCTGGTTTACGGCAATCTCCAGTCGGACGCAGTGCACCAAAGTGACCTCGTGTTTCAGTCAGTATGATGTTCGAAGCCTCGCAGTACATTTTCTTGACAAAACACTACTCATGCGAGGGTCTAGGCGGGACATAGGATTAATGAAAATCACGACACTACGCCTACCTGGTGGACTTAAAGCAGAGCGAAACGGCCAGTGGGGCTACCAAAATATTTTTTTAAACTCGTGAGTGGTATGAAATGTAGTTAAAATACAAACATTGAATTACTTCATAACTTTAATCAACATCCATTCCGAATCGGCAAGGAGATAGTGAGTTCATTTACAGTTTTTTGCAAGGTATCTTTCATGGATGAAACACTTTATGAGTCGAAAGATGCTGACGTATTTATAACAAGCCATTTTGCTGTATCCTGTTAATCTATAGATCACCATAAGCGCAGATGGCGACCAACTACAGGTAGGGCCAGACGGACAAGAACACTCTTTTGCCCACTTGTTGGCATACAACATTTCCAAGGATATTGCCCAAAAGGCAGCGACCAATATAACTATGCGCAAAGATGAACTGGGGCCATTATGGACCGATGAAACAATGCCACTTCCTCCTTTCAGTCAACTGCTTGTGACCAATCAACTTGACAAGTATTGGCACCGAGTTTTACTTGGCGTGGTGGAAATCCACGTGGACACGATGGTTTTGAGGGAAAAGGATTTCGGTAAGTAAATGCTAAAATGCGTTCTAAGACCATGTTTAGTTCCAAGAATAGTAGTTCCTGTTATGTAAATACGATTGCTAGTGGAAAGGCTTTCTCATCTACCCTTAGAAACACCTGACTGAAGAAGCCAACGAAAGCGTCAGTGGCATGTACGTGGCTTAGCACATGAATAGAGTTGATCAAAACATGAAGCTCCATTATATACACATTAGTGGTAATCCTCAATGATAAACAACGCTGCTGTGATGTAGATGGAGAATGAGTTTTACACAATTCTCCAGTTCAATCAAAAGTTCGAGAAAACGGCGGACTCAAGACGGTCAGTCATTCAGTTTCAGTCTCTGCCTCACAGTGAACAGAAAAGCTATGACTGGAACCGAAGGGCTTCACAGTTGAGGTCAAGCAAACTGTCCCCCAAATTAAGGACCTGGCAGCCGTAGTAAGAACTATCTGTAAAATGTTGTCATACTTGTCCACCTCGGTAGGGCTGTGAATTTTTAACCTGTAAGTACCGGCACAGTCGTCATCACCACTGTGGCGATTGGCAATACGCATCGTACTTCAGCCGCGTGGTGACAACAGTCGAATGGATGGAGAAGTGTAAACTCATTGAAAGTGCACAATGGGGTAAACCGTACTGACTGATCACTTACGTCGAGCTGGGAGTAGTCCACGATACTGAATAAGGCAGATACTACACTAAGTCTGCCTTTGCCTCGATATTTTACAACCTCCCTGAGAGATACGATACAGTAGAACGCCTCAATAAGAGAGACCTATAGGGAGAACCAAAATATCCCAGAATGTGGTGTGCCCGCTTTCAAATCTTAGGGGGAATTACGTCTCAATATGCAATAGCTGTCCATGCATTTGTCCCAGACCTCCCTCATATTAAAAGGTGCATATGAATCTAGGAACGAATTTATTGATCTTTCAAGCATTCAAACTGAGACGTTTGCATCTTAACAACGAAATTGGAACGGTCGATTGCTAGCCTACCTTTTCTCTAAAGCACAGATAGTGACAGGCCTAAGTCATGCTGTATCCCTTCAGAAAATTTGATGGCTTCAATAATTGTTAGAGGCTTTCCTTGAGGAACTTCCACCGCCCCTGAGCAGAAGACCTGTGCTTAGGGTTATTCGAAAACCAGGTAAATTTATTCCTTTTATCTGCATCACTGATTGTAAGACCGTCTTAAGTAGCATTTGAGCCGTCGACCACTTTATGCGCTTCTCCGCATGGCAGTTGACCGCAAATGACAGGGTTGGGATTTTACGAGCATTTCATTGATGACTGTGAAGTTCGTTCATCTCAGTTAACTTCCCAACGCAGCCGCCTGTGTGCGAGAACGTGCCAGATATTGGAGTGGTATGGATGCGGGGGAAAGAACCACTGAACACTCGTATTTGGGTGCTGCAACCATCTTTGTATGTCGCTGATTCTTACTTTTACAAAGGCAAGTGATTTCAATCTCCCAAAAAGATGTTACCGATCTGAAGTTGTCGTTCGTAGGGCGCTGGCGGCGTCATTTACCTTAAAACAAGAATTGAGGACGAAGTTTATCATCGGAGCTCACGTAATCTCTCGGGTTCGCGTTCGATTGTTAACTATAACACAAACCAAACAATATGCTTGGTTTGGCACGCTAGCACATAATCGAAGAAGTGTATCTGGGATGTGGGGTGGACCTGGTTCAAGTTTAGCATTAACATGGTAATACGGCTGCGCAGCGGAACAATCATGTGAAACAGAGCCGTGCGATTATGCCCCCACGTCTGAATCACGTCCGATTTCATCATGTACCGGAGAAAGGTCAAATAGGGACATAGAAGGTTCACACCCACTCCATGGCCAAGGCACCCCGTACACAAGCGCACAGACGGCCATCTATGATCAACCGAGAACCAGTGTGGGCGTGTGGGAGACACTGGTTGGTTGACAGCGGATCGACCATCAAATACGGCGACAAGTGAATCACATATAAAGAAATTTGTAATTGCGTTAATACACAGTTCCTTCAGGTCTTCTTCTTGCCTTGTGACTATAACTCAGTAGCGTCAGGGCAGGTGAAGAGATACAACACATGGTAACGCCAAACCAAAAAATAACTTTATTGGCGCGGAAACTCGGTTTAGGGGCTCTACTCAGCGCTGATGAAAAACAATACGAAGTCTCTTGTGCTACTGAAATTGACTATTTGAAGAATATGCTTGACGATGGATATATAAACCCACATCCCAGCAAGTTCTCTGAAAAGCAAGTAAACGAATGCAGCCCGCTCGTATTTCCCCCTTCGTATCATGTTTCTTTAGTGAGGCCTACGAAATCTTGATCCTAAAAACGACGTGAACACTTTTGTTTTCGTAGGCTGTAACTACTTTGAATCCCTATACAACCGCATCAAACCTGTCTTTTGAGACAGAAAGTGGTAACTGCCTTGCATTTTTAGATATGCTAATTAACACACACTCAGATAAAACCTTTAAGCGTTCCCATAAGCTGGGGATTATCTACAATTTTGAAGCCTTACTGCTTTAGCTCATTGGAGAAGCCTGGTGGGCACTTTTTCGACCGTACCAGATACATATGTACTCCTGGTTCTCTTCAAGAAACATTCCCTTAAGGGAGACTGATTACTAAAGACTGCACAGAGAAATCTATCAAAGTCCGCAGCACGCTACGGCAAAAGCATAGGCCTGGCTGCTGCGGTTTACAGATAGCTTAACCGCAGCCTTATGGCACAAATTACGTGCTGTAATCGACCGTACGTATCTAGCTGTCCAACTGATCCTTCTCTTATCAATCCAGTCACATTCCCTCACACGTTGCGTACTAGTTCGCATGAAGCTGCGGTGAAACATACATTGACAGAACAGATGGATTATGTGAACATGTCTCAAAACATTGGCCTCGTAAATGAGCTGGGTGGCTAATCGATCGACCGGAAAACCTGCCACATCAATCTTTAAAAACGCATTCTATCTATTGGAAGCAGCATTGACCCCAGTACAACCTTCGGAAAATTCTACTGCATAATCTCAACTTGAGATCTTTAGCTTTCACTGATCCATCAAAACCAAACCAACTTGTGTACAAAAGACCCAAACACATACTGACCGCTTGCTTTGGGCTTGAGAACAGAACCTGGTTCATCCACCATACGATTAGCCCCGGTCCACTATTTTGTTGAGGCTGACGAGATAAAAGCGAAATGTCTACGGTCTTCAGCCTTCTTTTTGCTGTATTATTCAAGCGGATATGAGGGACGTACTGTTTTAAAACTTGTTCTAATCGTTTACGACGTTCTCACACGAAATTGTTTCACAAATCCCTTATGCATTCAGGTTCTCCTATTCTGATCCCATTGGTATGCTCACTCATTCTGGCCGCAGCAGTCATCTGCACCATTTTCATCTGCGCTTACGCACAACGCAAACACCATCAGCTTCTGCTGAAATACGCATCCAGTGTGGCACCAAACAACGATCCGTCTGCCAATGCTAAATTTTTCACTCAAAACGTGGACAACAATATACGGCAAGCAGGAAAATTGACGAATCGGATGGTCAGACCCGTCAGCGAAGCTCAAATTCAGTCCCAATTTGCAGCGATTGTGCCCGTATCTATTGTTGCACGAACTTCATCAGGGAAACGTATTCCGGGTCCAGCATCAAGTCTACTCCGCACAATTGAGAGAGAATGTGAAGCACCCTCGGCTGCTCATGTGCGACCCATCGTAGTATGAATTTAGGCAAGAAACCCACGAACTAGGCTTGTTTTTCTGTGATAAGCTTTTGTTACCAGTAAGCGACATAGAAATAAAGTCATTTAACTGCCGTGCGCAATAAGTACTTTTTGTGATTGAAGATTTCCGGCTGACGAACTCAAGGACAAGGCCAAATTTACTGGAACAACTAATGCGCATCGTCCAGCACAGTGTATCCTGCGTTACAATCAAGAACACAAGCAGACCACCTCATAAATACAGGGCCTTATCGCTGGAGTCTACCAAGTGATCGAAAAAATCCGAGCCACCTGTACTGCGAGCAGCATTAGCCGAAAGTGAGGAAATTAATTTTGAATGCGGTCACATGTATTAAAAATTTTTTCACTTAATTACAATCTGATCGGCACACTGCGTACGCAACCAGCTACTGCCAGATAAGCCCAATGAGACCGATAAAAAAAACAGAAGTAGCTCTGTATTGGAACGGTCGAGTCGTCGAAAATACAACCAGCCGGGGACTGAGAACAACGGTTATTTTCCCCACGAATTCGCGCAAAGTAGTGCAAAAGCGAAGTGCTGGGGTAGGGAAAACAGCGATTTGTCACTACTTGATTACCCTTTTCTGTCCATGGTTTGGCAAAAGTGCTCAATTGACTGAACAAGCCGTTGAACACTTACTTCGTGAGGACGACCAGCGACCCAAGGAACTCTTGCAAACTGAGTTTGGCTGAGAGATGAAGAAAAGCAGATTCAAGGTTTGGAGAGAACCCAAAGGCAGCGGAAAATCAAGTTAGATTAAGCAATAAAGTTGCACTGAGGGGTAAACAACTTATTGACGAGGTAAACCTGAAAATCCAGATGGTGTTTGTGCAATATTTGATGCCTGGTAAACCTCAGCCAGTCAGAAACCGAAAGGGTGCTACAGCTGAACGATTATTATCATATTATTCATAAATGCCAAACATGGGTATTCAGCTATAACACGACGGCTTTGAAGAACTGATCATCAGAACGTTTCGGACGGCATAGGGCACAATGGACAGATCTTTTATCGTTGGAACTCGTCACAATAAATTCAGTAAAATGGAAAAGATTGAAAAGTCATCGTTTCAGATGGCTGACTGGGAAATTTCGACCAATACATCTGACACCAATGTCGTCCTCCAGGTTGATCGTGTGTATCTCTCAACCTAACAACGCCATGCGGCGTAATCAGTAGTTGGAGAAAGTGCCTTTTAAATGTACTTTTATGCCCATGAAGTTAGAAGCTTTGTTATTGAAAACTTGATCTTCGCTGTCACCTAGCTTCTGTACGCACCACACTCACACGCATGTAGATGTGACATTTCACTATGTTTAAACAAAGTAAACCTACTAACATCTGAGAGAATAGTCTACTTGGAAGTGAAAATGCGTGCTATGCTTCGGAGCTGGGCGATACATGGCAAACTCTTGGAACAGCTGAGTATTCCGTTTGCTGGTACCGTCGTTCGACGGTATTGACAGAAGTTAGCTTTATAGTCGGAACATAGTCTGCAGCCATAGGCTATGGCTTATTTTCAAAAGGACGTATAGCGGTTGTTCATAACCGGAAAATATATGTTGTACCTGATTGTTGCCTCGTTTCATGGGCGTAATCATATTCAAGAATATTCTTCCAAGAATACTGAGGAATTATTGCGGGTATCGCTCGTCAAAACTGTTGTAAAACTCTGCATAATATGTTACTGACAAACTTCTCACGGTGTAATTTCAGTTACCAAGTCGTGTTAGTACCATTTTTTAAATGGTACTGAATGCGGTCACTTAACTGGAGTTTAAGTGTAAATTCACATGGTCTGGTGATGAATTCTTATATTATGTATATGTACATATATATATATATATACAGGTGTATTTACGTAAACAAGCCATGAGCGCAATTCACTTATGCTTCTCTACGAGGTCAGGACGGCGGGAACTTGGTGACCGGAACGTCGTGGTTAGAATTCAGAACGTTAGCACCTCAACTGTTCCTATCTGGACTCGGGCGACCGGGCAGTGTCTCAGTCCTCGTGGTTCCATAGCGTGGCAGCCATGTACCGAAATGATGCCACAGTTTGTTCTTACTTTTATTCTTTTTTTCTCTTATTCTTTTATTCTTACTTTCCCGTAATGTGTGTTGACTCAGTAAATACACCTCGAGGAATAAGAAAGAAACGGTTAAACCAACGAATGGCTCTAACAGACATTTACAAGATGCATACAAACCTAAAATGGTTGTCCCTTGGTGGTCTCACTACAAAATATCAATAGCAGTTGTGTGATCTATCAAAAGAGCCGTTTCGCGGCGCCACGAAGTATCCTACAGGTTGCCAGTGTCGACCAAGATCGCGAGATCCGGCACCATGAAATTAAGAACGATTTGTGTGAACTCTTAGTTTGCTTTGGCCATGAAGCGTAAGTCGTTCGATGTAGTCACTCAGCGGCTTCTAAAGTTATCCGATAAGACCCTTCCTGCACTAAAATCAGATTGCTTACGTTTCCACGCGTTTAACTAAATAACGAATCTTAGCTCTTCAATTTGACTGCAGCTGTTTTAGCTTGCAGAAATGTAACAACCTGATGACAAAATTCCAAAACAACAATGCTCGCCACTCTATGTTCTTCATATTACTGATGGAATATTCACACACACACACACACAGAGAGAGAGAGAGAGCAGTATTCCCGATCTTGTCCTTTTTCAGGTTGGCTGGCAGCTGCCAGGTTTGCAATAGTCTAGCTGAGGTTTTATCGGCAAAGTCATGTATGCGATTCGCGAAGATAAATATCCGTTCAAACACCTTACCAAAAACACTCAAATGCATCATTTTAGCTCACTTGAATGGATATTGCTGGTTTGGAGGTAGTTCAAATGTGGATTCACAAGTGGTTCGGTTGAAGTAGTATGTATGTCCACTGGTTCGGCTTACTGCTTCTGACCAGGGCTCTGACCAAATGCACCGAAGGAAACAGTCAGGTAAGAAAGATTATCAGTGAAATGATTAGGAAATTAGGAAGTCTTGGTGATATCAGCTGAACATCAAAGTATGGCAAGAAACCTGAACATACATGGACCTGGATGATGAGACACGGTTTGACTTTTGCACATTCAATCGGAGCAAAAGAAGCGATGACGAAAAGTTATTTACCAGGTCCCCCATATGTCAAGAGCCAATGTAATCAAGCCTCCTTTCGAAGAGTACGGAGAAGAAAAACGCAAACTGAAGATTGACGTCATGGATTGGGGTTGCAAACCTGGAAGAATTAGCAGGGTCTCCACTAATTTCACTGCAGGTCTACGGACATACTCTTGGTTGAGGAGCAGCCAATTATACGGTGATCATTCTTAATCTCGTCCGAAAGATAAACCAAAAGTATGAACAGCTCACCTGCCAGGTGCCTCACTAATAACAAAGAATGGGGTTGAAAGGCGATACCATCGGGGTGAACATTCATTGGCACATGGTTCGGCGCATCTTTGCATCGGAGAAGGGGGAGTCTAAACTCGAAAAATGCAAGAGTGATACATGGGTTTTCATCACAAACACGAAAGGGATGGAACTACATATGTACACCAATCTCCTCAAAACAGGCTACTCAAGAACAGTCTCCACTTCCCAGCAAAGACATGCGCAAAACCCCACTGAAACAATGCAGTGATTCGATCTGTTTTATTCCAAAAACAAGTAAACTAATCAAATCGGAGCAACCTTGTTCCAAGATTGTTGTGGGTCCCAAAACGACTCCACCTACATGGATCGTGATCACGAAATCCTTTCCCTCTGTAGAATTTTTTCCACAGAAAACATCGCATTGAATCAGTCCCATGAGGCTTCGTCCCTCTTGAAAGAGATCACCTATCAAAAGAAACTGCTCTGAAAAAAATCACCAGAGTACGCCGAAGGTACTAATGGCATTTCAGGGATGCTCCCTTCTGAAGATAGTATGTTGAAAAAGTGATTGGAATGCTGGAACTTAAGTAGGCGCAACATTTTCCTTGAGGGAAGTATACCGACACATACCACGCTGTATAAGAAAACACCCGAGAAAATAGTCTGTTTTGAAGGTAGCTGGCATGAGGTTAGAAAAACTGCATGCTTGTTACACAGCATTGAGAATATGAAAAGACGACAGTGAGATCTTTGTGCCGCAAAGTCGATCTCTACCTAAACGTGATGGGCATTCCAACCATAGCTCAGCAATTAGTGAACATGAACTAACGCGGCTTTGGCGATACTCTCAGGCGTTGCGGATTCAACCGCCAACTGTCTCCATCAAAATACTGGCAGTATGACATGGTGAGCGTTATGTTATCCCTATTCACAAGGGCTTCATCTCCCATAAAGAGTATACGGACTTCTAAGTTGTACCGGAAACAGCTGAACACTGCATCAGCTGACCATATCTCACCAACAAGCATGGAAATACCCCGCCTCGAAGGCTCCAGAGGTGCATTCAAACGAATTCCAAGCGGTACTTGGAGCACCACGATATATGAAATTTCCTAAGGTCACTGCCTGTATATTACAACGTAGCCACCATCGTCCTACGGTAGTCCCAGTAACTGACGCGCCCGCGATGAATCCGTGGTTAAGGTGACGAAAATGCGCATCAGACCGACAGATAGAATTTGATAACACTGTTAGATAACGGGGACGTTTAGGTGACGCTTATTTAAATAGTCCGTCCGCTAAAGACACACGAGCAACCACTAAGTTTAGGGACGGTGTAAGTGCATCACAACGGCGGGTAAGTAAAGCGCTCTGGACTTCACAGGATAGCTCTTGTTGTTAACAACCAAGCCCCAAACGAGAGGTTACATCGTGATGTGTTCGCCAAGCTTGAGTGCCACCAAGATCCTGCAGGATACATTTGCTGAAACTTCGTTGCAGTAGCCGTATCGGGGAGGCAAAAAGGACCAATGAGACAGGGTACAGCAAGCTCCATATTAACACTAGCCGGTGTTTCATTGCAGTTTGGTCGAAAATTAAGGGACATGGGTTATTTTCACCACCGATAAGGATCGTTAATCTAAGAAAACCTGACATTTTGCAACTACTAAAAGGCGGAAAGAAACGCTCTCTGAAAGAACTTACCCCTTCACATAAGATGGCAAATTTCGCAGTCGAATCAGTGGGGCTACACGGACGTAAGAAGCATCCATGCCTGGAAAGTTTACCACGTCTGCCATCCTCCGCGCAAGTTCCATGCTACAACGCGTGAAAATGTACTGTAACATATTTTTAAACCTTTATATGAGAAACTAATTGAGCAACACAGACTATCAGGACAGAGACTGGCAGTCATACATAATGGAGCTCGGATCATCGAAGTGACAATCAGCAATTTAATCTAATGTGTCATCTAGCATAAGAAAAGGCAGATGAGTACATCATAAAACTGGTTACTACTGGTGCGCTTGCCAATAGCTTCAAAATTATTAGCACCATTACTGGTGTACAATCCCCCATAGATTTAGAAGTCGACAATATTCATGTCTCCCAACAGGTTGGAATGAATTCCAGTTGTATCGTTTAACCTTCATAATTCCGAGCATAAGGTTCAATACATACAGGGAGCGATCCAACCTAGAAGCCTGGATTTAAAAAGAACTGTTTCCAACGCACGCCATCGTGATCAATTGTCTCCACCAGGCAGAATTTAAGACAGGATTCAAGTTCTTTGCTTCGGGCGAAAAAATGTCGAACAGAGTGGTAATTGGAATAAGCTTCTTGCTGGAAACCAAAAATAACCACCCAGGTATCTCTACTGGACATCACCAAATCTTCCCATCTCTCTGACTAGCAGGGTCAAGATCGGGATAAATCTGTGATCAAAAGAGTGCTGTGCACATGCGATAGACCCTGAGATTTCGTTAAACTCAACTTCCCCTCTTGTGACACAAAATCGCAATCGCCCATAAAAAATAGACTTATCGATAACCTGGCTTGTATCTTTTGACATACTCTTAGGAGCAATTCAGTTATATGAATAGCGAATTCTTGCGATTTTGGAACTTGCTCCTGGTGAATTCATCCTCATTGTCATGAAATATTCAGAACAGGTCATCCCGATCTAGCATGTACAGAAAATAGCCAAATGTCAACCCACAGAACGAATTAGGAATAGAAAACTGGAGGGCTATCACCTCACCAAAATATAAGCTGCACTTCTGGAAAGTAAAACCGGTTTTCGGAGTATGCCAGTCAAAGATGAAGCGAACCTGTGACAAACGAATAGAGTCTTTACCTGTCACCGATAGATCTTTGACTATACGATTAACTCAGCAATTGCTTTACGAAACGTACCGCTCAGTAAACGGCAAGTGACGACAGTCTTGGCCGTAGATGCACACGACATCAAATATCATCAAGGCATATTTGCGCCGACCGCTCTAGAAAGGAGGAGGTAAGAAGAGGAATAATCTCATTAAAATACTCAAAAAGTGCACACATAGGGCGAGTATCTTGATCAGATATATGTATCCAGCAGTTAGTAGAGGGAAACAATCCGCTAAATTCAGCCCGAAAGAACCAAAATTTAGCTTCTAGGATATCCTCTGTCGACTCCTTGAACTGTAGCGAAATGTCACAATCATGCAAGCAAGAAAAAAGTCGCCTGCTCGAACGTTGTATTTCTAATGCGTTAGTGGTTTTATCAGATTTTATCAGTCAATCTGGGCAATCAAATTGCCCAACTCAGCGAACAAGCCAACGACCATCTATGCTACCCGAGCTACCAACATTTTCCTCTACAAAAGACCTCATGAAGGAGATGCACTTTTCTCGGCGCACTCTGAAACCATACCCTTGAATACGACCAAGCACATAATCAAGGCGCTGCCACAATTTATCGGTGCTAGAACCCATGACGATGAGATCGTTCAAATAGGCGGCAACGCATGGGTCATCCTTCAGCATCGTGCTGAAATATGGACGGCGCTGTCTTGACACCAAATGGCAATTGGGTTTATTGGAACAGACTGCGGTGCGCATTGACTGTCAGTTGCCACATGCCATCAAAAAGACGTGCTGGACGTTTAGGGCGTTTGATGGAATCGGTACATTTGTTTTAAGATGTCCACGGGTTTCGCATCAGCACTTCGAGACTACTGACCCCTAAATAGTTTATCACCTAAAGAGTTATTGAACTGCTCTACTGCTTTACTTTTCCATAAACCGCGCCCGACCATTTGTGGTTTCATAATACTTTTCTATGTTCTGGGTTTATTAACCACTGGTGATCGCCACATCCATCAGCACTGTGTTTTTCACATAAATCACTGACTAGTTGCTTTCTGCAGTCTACATCAAATCCACAACCGTTGATCTCAATATAAAAATGGACTCTCTTCTTAAAGCGAGCTGATTCAGCGGTACGCTTAGGAATTTCATCGCACTCTCTGCTTGGCCCATGGGACATAATACATACAGAGGCATAAGTATCACTAACAGCCGCAGCAGGCAGTCAATTAATCGATGACAAAAATCTTGGTTAACCTTGGTAACGTATTCATATGTGGGTTGTCCCCACACTAGCGTCCCAGGAGGAAGCCGAGGTTTAAGATACTGCGCCACCTGATCCAGTCGAGTCCATTGGCCTCCATCTGTCGTACAGTGGATGTCCTAGACAAAAAGGGTGGGAAATGCGGTAATTACAGCACTCTCGGTAAACGAATGAACAATGCACTGCTAATCCAGGAATCAACGGTTTTGCACGCTGCTGACAAATGGTATTTTGGTCCCGAGAATGAGATCAGTTCCGCTTTATCAAAATAAAATTGTTTTAAAAGGGAACACTTATGTGAAGCTCAGTGGAATCGTTCCTTACTTGCGCACTAGCTGTTGGGGATAGAAGCCAAACAAGAGGACAGAAACTGCACAGCTGGGCCAAAAATCGACCAAAAGACAAACATAAGTTAAGATCAGTTTAGATTTGGTTTTGGCGCGTTTTTGGAAACACTGACCACAAGCACAACCGCGTTTTCGAGACAACTATGCGTTGGTGCTGATGGTCAAATGAAACACAATGTGTCCGTTTCTTTTTCATCCGTTTGTGACTCAACTAGATGTTCAATTGATAAACAGTCTTACGGAACCGCAAAACTCTTTCTCTCTGAGCGGAACCATCAGCCACACCGGCCAATAAATAGACCAACTTTCAGGTTGCAATCATATCCCTAATCTACTTTTGGTGGTTTTTGTCAAACTCCCATCATGTGTTATGAACTACTACCATTGATAGCCCTGTAGTGACGGAGATACTGATGATAGTAACTAAAATGAATCGAAATTCAATGGTGTGTTGAGTTTATTTTAGCCTATATCCAATAAATCAACTTTCGACGGGTTCAAGTGACTAAATAGGGTAGACTAATGTGCGTATGTTGGAATGTGTCCTTGTATTATTCACGGATAAATTCACTTTTAACGAATAACTGACGGTACATGGTGAGGAGAAGCAGTTAAACATCAGCGAGAGGTCTGCAGCCAATTTGTACGCGAGAATCGTTCACGGACTTGTTTTATTAAATGATTGGTCTGTTGGCGGCTGCGAGGATCATACACCCTACATATACGAAAATGCGATAAATAAAGTTTTATCCGACTCCATGGTAGCTAAGTGCACTCCATGGGATACGGGTGGCATAATTCAGTACTGACATAACCGTCTATAACCATTAGGAGTCAATGTAGATCCGACCCTCAACTATACAGCTGGATGGAGTGGCCATTACAGTAATTTGTGAAGAGTGACTACATTTGCCATTGATTTACGTTACCGAATAGAAGAGCGGTTATCACGCGATTGTGGGTAGCAGAACAGCTGGAAACAACGTAAAATTCGTTTCTGAGCGGATGCGACCTGTGACATGAAGGATAAATATCTAGGTTTGGTGGCTTTCTAGGCGTAAAAACAGTCAGTTCATTTGTACCTTCCATGTAGGGACTAGGAGATCTCCGAACCCACCTCGGACATAAGACCGCGCTGGTCAGGTAATATATCCTAATTTTATACAATGGATACATTTAAACCGATTGATGATCGAGGCAGGGCGATCGCCTTGAAGATCACCCCGAAAATTCAACTACTGTAAGTCAATGAGTAATTGAAGTTTGAACACTCCTACCACCGCGCGAGTCCGCTGGCTAGTCTAAGCATTCATGTTACTGCAGCCCACCAACAGCACCAGTCAAATCGATGAACTGGTGCACACACCAACAAGCCGCTCCATGAATAGTGAGCGAAGGCCATTAGCGGAGAATGGACGCACCACGCGGTACGGTTCAACGTGGCCACACTGGATAACTGGTTATCTCGACATGACTGGTCAGATGAAAAAATAGGAAACCAGTGTTTCGTGATTCATGTTCCAATGATATGTGGAAAATGGGGACTCGCCAAGATATCCAGAAACTCTACTGTCACTGCAATTTTCATCCACCAGCTGAACATAACATTTAAGAGTTGGTTTGAACAGGAAAGTGATTCCGAAATTTCGTGAGCTATGTCTAGCCTCAAACCTACTTTGTTTTCAGGTTGCGAAAATGAAATTCCTTTATTGAAAACATTACCGCTGATTAGTCTGACACGAGATTACGAACAGCAGATTTCCACCAAGATTACCGTACATTCCAAGAAGTTCAAATGGTAACATCTAAAAGGCTATGGAGCATGTTACCCATAAGGCACTAGAACAAATAAACTCACGGAGTTCCGGCTACTACGCGAGTAGATCATCATCGGTTGGGAGGGAGCAGAAGCTGTAGTGTAGGGCGTACCACAAACAATGGCCACGCGGCTGTCGATCAATATATCCAAATTAGCGAGATTCACTTCAGTAAATGTTTCGACTCGAGTGTTTGCGTAATATTCTGACGGAAGCATGTTCAGCGACTTCAGTCGTTCTTTGTCCTGCCAACAAAATCCAGAAAAGTCATTTATATTAAGGTTTTTTATGCATCGCATACAGCAATCCCTCGAGAAAGAACACCCGGATTGAGCTCAGAACAATCATGTTTCTATAGCATTTTCTACTTCCGGAGACGTCACTTTCCCAACAGTTGGCAACCTTAATTCATGTGGAATGCCCCGCCCCCCCCCCAACCAGAGTGACCAGCAACCTGTAAATCCATCCCACTTGCTGGCCAACTAATAGCTGTAAAACAATCACACAGAGCCCTAAGGCAACGGGACTAGCTGTAACAGAGTTGAAAACAATGTTTATGTTAAGGCGAGGAGAGATTCTCTGAAGGCAAAAGTGGTTGCGAGAGCGCCAGTGCGTGCGAGTGCGAAAACCACAACGGCCTCAAGCTTTTTATTGGAAGGACACTGTCTGAACTTGGCCCAATGCTGACGCACGCGGTCTGGCTTTAGTACGAGGCAGCGACGTGCTGCATATTGCGGAGGCGTTGTCTGACCTTGATCAACGCTGACTCGCGCTGTCTGGGTTTGATGCAAGGCTGTGACGCGCTGCACATTGAGGGGTCGTTGTCTTTCTGGTCAACACCCAGCGGAGCTGAGAGTCGCCGTAGATTCCGGGCATTCAGTGGTTGCTTTCAGGAAGCTGACCTTCCTGATAGCATTTTATCGTTGATAGCGTCAATTATGCATCTTAAGTATGTAGCGTTGTTTTGACTCCATACAATAATGAGAAATTAGCATAGATATGAAGGGATAGTGCATGAGTGGGATGGACATGGTAGAGAGTTAGGTTCGATGACCTAATGTTGTGAGAAAAGAAGCAATGGATAGATGTTCTGTATAGTGGCCATGTATCACGCCGAGTTACCGAATGCGGAGAAATTCGGAGTGGCAGAAACCCAGACGTGGACAGAAGAGGAGCTAGTGGAAGGGAATGAAGGGTGCTGCTAAAAGTCAGTGCTGTCCGCCTCCAGGATGGGGTGCACGTAAACGTTATTGTAATTGGCTGAAGACAGAGAGCGTTACTTGACTGTTGAGCGATATGGCAACTAACCGGTATCAGTGGCGTCCATGCTTTGCGTTTCTATTAAGATTATCTGACTGAGGGCTGTATACGTAGTAGACTCCCCGAATGTTTGTTGCAGAATAGCCCTAGCCTCCCTCCCTGACCAATTTTCTTTCGTCCTATTATACATCATCATCATCATTGTCAGCTGTAATAACCGCGTACTCGCCGTACAGAGGTTGTAGCTGCCGCAGTTTCGTTCAGCGATGGTTTGGGGGAGGGGGAGGTAGCTGCGCGTTGCAGGCGGGAGCTGATAAATTGGGCCATAGATCCAGCAGTGTCAGTGGG